CAGATGTGATTAGTTTTTGTTTCTTTTAATTTTTTTACAAGTGCTCGCTGCTTGTGCTGGTAACTGAAGTAGCTGTGCTTGTTTAAACAACACATCCTTCCACCTCCACAGTACAGTGAGCAGTCATGCTGGCATCTTCTTTTTCTCTTTGTGGGTTGTTTTGGGCAGATGATGCCTATAGGAATCAAATCTGGTTTCAGCTTATTAAATAGTGTAAAATTGTTTTCTTTGATTTGTTCATGTAGGTACATATGGCTATTTGCGATCACATCTCTGCCAATGTAATGTGACTGGGATTCACAGATGTAGCTGACATGTTTTTCCAGGAAATCTCTGAAGATGTCTGGTGGTGGTTTTGTTTTGCAAATTAATGTTCTTCAGTGGTTTGCAAATGGAATTCAAGGCCTGAACAGATAATGGAGTTTAGCCTTTGTTATTCCAGATACGTCTGGGGTGGTGTTTGACCCTTGCTCAAAAATGGTCATGTCCCAAGGAGGAACAGCCGAGAGGATGAAGGAGAAGGTAAGAGGTGGCCACACGTGGCTGCAGGTTTATGTTGCTAAAGGAAAGATTCAGTGCTCAGAGTTAATTTATTGGGGATGCACCGATGCCGATACCAGTATAGGGTCCAATACCACCCTCTGATACCACTACCAATTAATAGCAACATTACATTAACCTCACACTGGCTAAGCTGGTCGTTAGGGGGCAGAGAAGAAAGTTTAGCAGTTTGGGGATATTTTAAGATCAAAAGGAAAACTTAACTTAAACTTTATTGTCATTGTACATTTGTACAATGAAATTAAAAATGCAATCTTTCGATGATAAAAAATAATCATAAACAATAAAACCCAACAAATTTACACACTCGCATCCATACACATCTGACTATTGCACAGTTCCCGTAAAATCCCATCGATCAGTCAAATTTTAAGATTTTAGCAGCATTTAAAGCAACAATAGCTCTCTGATAAAAACTGTTTCTTAATCTGTTTGTCCTTGCTATAATTGTTCTGTATCTTCTCCCCGAAGGCAGCAGTTCAAACAGACAGTGTTCAGGATGTGATGGGTCCTGCAGAATGTTTTGTGCTTTTTTTCAAGCAACGGGAACTGTACAGTTCTTCCAGAGATGGTAGGGGGCAACCGATAATCTTCTGGGCTCTGGTAATAACCCTCTGGAGCGCTCTCCTGTCTGCAGCTGTGCAACTGGCGAACCAGGCACAGACACAGTATGTTAAAATGCTCTCTATTGAGCAGTGATAGAAGGACACTAGCAGTTTCTCATTCAGATTGTTTTTCTTCAAAAGACTGAGAAAATACAATCTCTGCTGGGCCTTCTTCACCAAAGCAGTGGTATTTGCGCCCCAAGTCAGGTGCTGCTCAAAGGTAACACCCAAGAACCTAAAGACGGCCACCCTCTC